AAAGCTTCTATAAAACTGACAGAGGAGCCTTGTATTTATAGTATAAAATCTAGCCCTAAAAGAGTCCCCAAAAAGGTAAGAAATCTAATGCAATTTAGACTCCTATTTGAGTCACAATTTTAACAATCTCTACCTTGACTCAAATTTCGGTGCAACGAACGAAGTTCCAAAATTTCTCCACCTTGAGAAATGATCCGTCTGTATCAGAATAACCAAGCTCCTCAACACAGTAACCAAACTCTCCACGAAAACATGTTCCTCCACTTGGCGTCCACACGCGACACCCGAACCCAAACCCGAGTTCCCAAAATTCCTCCTCGAATTAACAATCACTGGACAGGGTCGAAGCACACCCTGTAGCAGAAGCCACACCAAATGCACAATCAGAAGGTCCCTTGCCAATATTGTCACCTTCAATGATTTCTAAAGCATTACAGACATCTCCAAAACTGTACCTACGCTCCATGAGTCCATTGGCATTACAAGAACACAGTGTATCCGCTAAAATTGGTGGCAAAGAGGAATCACCAACACTCCCTTGAGCAAAGTTCTTAATTGACCTAGAGCCAAACCCGAGAGGTACTGTACCAAATTGAATGTCCATCACGGTGCTGAACTTGTCCAAATGTCTCTGAATTGGTTCTGCGCTCCCCTGTAAGATGTACAACTGGAATTTCCTCCGTCCCTCTAGTACAACCCGGACACCTCTTCGAACCTTCGAGACTCCACCTCTACCTGAAAATTTGTACCCTTTTTCATCCAAGGTATTCAGTGATATGAGATTCTTTGTCAAGTCTGGAACATGGCGGACCTGATCAAGTGTCCTCACTGTTTCATCCTGTAACCTCAATCTGACCCGACCGATTCCTGCAACCCGACAAGATTGGTTGTTTCCCATGACAACTCCACATTGCTTCACCGTCTCATATGTTTGAAACAAAGCCCTATTGGGACACATATGATACGAACAAGCAGAATCCAAAATCCATTCCTCAGGTTTGGACTCCCCATCAGATACAGCCAACATCACATCTCCATCATCACAAAAATTTTCAGCAATATTAGACTCGTTCGAATTACTTGATTGCCCCGCATGATTTGCATGTAAATTACCTTTACCTTGCAACTTGTCGCAATCTTTCTTGATGTGTCCTTTCCTCTTGCAGTAATAACAATACACATTGTTGTACTTCACCTTCGATCTACCCCTCCATCGATCATCATGAGTAATAAGAGCATCCCAACTCCTAGATGCAGGATCTCCAACCAACAACTACATCTTCTCTTTTGAGAACAAGGCGTCGTATACCTCCTCAATGAATAACGTGTCACGACTATACAGAATAGTATCACGAAATGACGAAAAAAATTGGGTAGCGAGCACAATAGGACCAAGGCTAGATCCTCTTCATCATATTTTACCTCCAACGTCTCCAAATCTGCAACGATCTCCTTGAACACAGCAAGGTGGTCCTGCAATGACCCTCATTCCGCCATGCGATGAGAATACAACCTCTGCTTTAGAGTCAGTTTGCTCGTCAAACTCTTTGTCATGCACAACTGCTCCAACTTGAGCCACAAAGCAGCCGCTGTTTTCTCCTTCAAAACATCTTGCAGCAAATTGTTGGATTTGCGCTAAAGCCTTCCGATCCTTCCGTTGTTTCTCCTCCATAGACAAGTTTGTTGGCATCCTATCAAAACCCAGCAAAGCATCATTAAAATCCATCTGCGTCAACACAGCTCTCACCTTTACTTGCCACATCAAAAATCTTGTATTGCGATCTAATAGCGAAATTCCATACTTCAACAAATTCATCTCTGAAAAATCTCAATCTAATCACGACGAACTTGCAACCTACAACACCAAAAATTGAAAAATACCGAACGTGCAAGGGGCAAAATAGTCTAGAACCACAATTTTGCCCAAAACTAAAATTGGACACCACCACAAGGTCCGTCTCGTCGTCCAGAGAAAACTACTTGAAGACAACGTCGCTGGAAACCGCCGCATGCGCTGCCAATCTCCTCGCCGGAGTTCCACCGCCAGCGACTGGCCGAAAACGTGCCGACGACCTGTGACCTTTCTGGACCGTTTCTGCCTGCTGAGTCCACTGGTGGTGTTAGTTTCTCCAAACCCTTTTTGGTTTGACCAGAAAATGCAAAAACAGATCCAGCAGAAAATCGAAAAATTGGACAGATTCGTTTTCTGATTTTCTAGTAATTTTCAGACGATTTTCCGATCATTTCAGGCCAAAAATCCACCAATAACCCCGCTCTGATACCACTTGTTGAGACCGATTGACCAATAATGCAGGAATTGAGATTTAATGAATTGCACTTGTTGTAATTGAATTATTGAACAAGATCACAAATAACTCAAGAACAAAATTAAAGTAAGTAAAAAAAGAACTGGCAGAAGGAACGATGTTTTATTAATTCACTACGAAAGGAGAGCACAATACAGCAAAAGACTTCTATAAAACTGATAGAGGAACCTTGTATTTATAGTATAAAATCTAGCCCTAAAAAATCCCCAAAAAAGGATAAAAAATCTAATGGAATTTAGGCTCAGTCACCCTTCTAACACTTCTTTTCCTTTTCCAAAACAACATCAACAACTGCTGCGTTCCTTCATCTCGTTATGTGGCGGCATTAAACTTTTTGTTTTTCTCAATAAGCTTTTTAGGCACGTGATCACTGCGTTCTTTTTTCTTTTTTGAAGGGTGTTTCGAGTGAAATTAAGGGTTCTGAGGAGCAAAACAAAGGATCCACCAAAGACCCATTTGAGTGAGTTCACCGGAAACTTACGCATAATGAATTGGTCGGATTTCTTTTAATTAGATGTTTATAAGCATATTCTGTAATTATTTGTGATTTGTCGATGTCCATGCACACGCCTTCACTTACGAAAAATTCATTAAAAAAAATTTTTGGTTTCAATTGTATTTCATTATTCAGAAAATCAATTTTAAAATTTTTACCTAGAAAGGGATTTGATTTTGAAGGGGGTCTTTGGGCTTAAAATATCATCACCTTTTTTAAAGTAGTTGTCTGCATCAATTACAGAAATGGGCATAAAAATGGGAACAATGAACCATAGGGATTGATGAATTTAATCCTAGAAATGGGTAAATGACTAAATGTTCTCAAGGGACAACAGAAAAATGTCTTAAATGTTCACTGGAAATTCATATCAATGTCGTTATATATGTCTTGGCCCATGCCATGTATCTGGTAACAATGTACTTATCACACGTTAACTATTTTTTATTTTTTTTAGTTTTATTTTTGTGAGACTTGTGAATTACGGGATCTAGCACCTTACTTTGCTGTTTACAGTGAAAAAAATGCAAGTGCAAAAATGTGGCAAAGCATCTGTAGTTATTGAAAATGAAGCATAACAGATGTTACTGAATGGGAAATTGGGAATCCCATATCTACACAAATGAATTTGCTTTCGTTGGCCTGTGGCATGCACAGGACACGAAGTTGTAATGCGGTAGTCATCAGGCAATAGTATGAAAAAACTGTCTTCATAAGAACTTCCAATATGAAAGTTGTATTGCTGTGGTTAATATGTCCATTTGTTTCATCAGCTACTGGGCTAGTCAGAAATTTAGTTTCGAGGCATACTAGCCGTCCCTGTGTAAAAATTGTAATACCTATGTTGTTTCAAGAAGATGAGGACATATGAAAATTTTTCTTTCTTACAAATATCATACCAACACAAATGTTGAAATGAAAAAAGGAGAGGATGATTCAAAATCGTATTATTCTAGGTAGTCCAAGGCAAGTACAAAAGACTATATGTACTCATAAGGCTTGATAGGAAATCCAAACTTTTGTGTTTCACCAACCATATAGTAATTTTCATTTTCTCTAGGATTCTCATTTGTTGCTGCAAAATTTAATGTGCAGCCATTTTTAGTTCATGTCACTTAATTCTTGTGTGGAATTATTTAATTATCTTCCTCTTGTTTGTATAGGGACATGGATGACAAGGAACAAATTGATAAATTCCAGAAGTACGAGGCTGATTATAAACGTTACTTGATGTCAAAGTACTTCTCAGATAAAACTATCTTTGGAGGTCAATACCTTTCCCTGGATATAACAAGCAATAAACTGTGTTCACAAGTCTGAAAATATGGATTGAACTGTCACACTACAGGAAATTTAAGAATCTCAGTCACAATCTGCACTCTGTATGTGTTCCCCAAATAGAATATTACAGGCCAACACCTATTCTCAAATTCCATATTAACTAGACTGAGAAATGGTTTACACATTCTTGGATAGCACTAAAGTTATGTTGTCTACCTTGTTTTTCCTATCTTTCGTATGATTGCTGGAAATCTCAAGCTAGTGTGTTCATTATGGTTATTGTCTTATTGTTAAAAAATTTTGCCATTGTTGCAGGCAATATATTTGATGTGAAGATGAATATAGATGGCCAGACCATAACAGCAAGCAGGTACGAAGGAGTCGATTATTTTCAGAAAACTATGTTACTGTTTTTATATGCCGTGCAACAGCTAAGTTTGTCGCTTGCTTTCAAGGATGCCTCCATACCAGTCTTACTTAGATCCAGCAAATTTTGATGAACTGAACAGCAAAGGTTCCTCTGCTGCAGCAACAGAAACCCCAACAACTAGTACTTCAAATGGGAAGCCTTCAACAAACACAAGTGGGAACTCTTAGACGTCTGTCCTCGAATCCATTTTAAGTATTTGTATGTGAAAATGAATAGCAAATGGTGAAGACTAAATTTTTTACCGTGCTGTTTTCTGAAATATGACCCTGTTGAGTGTCTTATTGAGTTATCTTTGCTGTTATGCTGCTAAGCATTTGTAAATACAATTTTTGAACTCGTACAGTATTAGGCTTCTATGGAGATTTTAATATATATGTACAGTGCTTACAATGTAAAAAGGTCTCGTAATACAATTTTATCGACGGAAAGCATTCTTGAAAGCCATGTGACACAAGTAAGCAAATTATTTCTTTCATGCAAATGAACATATCTTGAATAAAAAAATACGGTAAAAGGAATAATGGTTCCCTACCATAGCAAAAATATAAACTTGTACAGAACAAATCATCCTCGAAAGGGAGAGGCTACTTTTAACATTTTTCACTAAACACCAAAAGGACTGTCAAAAGTTTGGATAATCTGTAAGGATGGACAAAACATAATCCGAATTCTTGCTGCTTCAATTAAGGTATTGAGAAACATGTGAAAAACCCCACAGCTGCAAAGACAAGAAAAGGAAGGTAAAATTCTGTGAACGTTCAGAATAAAACGATCACTTTCAAGAACAAAGAACCTTGCAAACTACATTAATGGTTCGTTCAGCATTGACCAGTATTAAAGAATAGAAAGAAACTTAAGTGTGTTCTAAACATGCTCTAAAAGTTCGATCTTTGCAGATGACCATTATGTATTTTCATTTTTCTGGTAAAGCAGTTTTCAAATATTGCAATAAAAGTCCAGATACATTTCTGTCATAAAAAAACTCTTTAAAGCTAGGGAATCAATAATTGGAAATGCAGGCTATTAATAGAGTCGCAACACAGAGAAAACCAGCTTCTTGGGTACAAATACAATAACAGCGTTCTGGGCAGGGGGAAGGGGTAGAAGAAAAAGTCTTGCTGGTGCAACAACCCAACAAGTTGAGCTCGTTTGGCTAAGCTTCAAAAAAGTAAAGTATATTTTTTGGAAAGTTTTAGACCTGAAAAAACCAAAACAAAGAGTAACTTCTGAAAAATTTCAATCTTGTTTGGCAAAATTAGCCAAAAATGACCAGCCCTCAAAGTGATTTTTCTGTGAGAAACTACACATCACGAACTATATATTATCGATGTTTTGCATATTACTAAGCTGGGTGGATAAGAAGAATAATTTTCTTAGCACCCGTTTGGCCCCCAATAACTTCCATTCCATTACATTTCATTTTATTTTTCTCTCCCCTATTTTTAACCACACAATCTGTCATAAAATAATATTACACGTAAATTGAAAACTTTTCCATCTTTTTCAACCTCTCATTTTTCAAAAAAATATTATTCCACCCATTTTCATTTCCACAAAATGGGGGCCAAACGGTAATGAAATTGATGACGGGGAGTAAAAAATCATTACCTCAACATTCTTTATTTCAAACTCTTGATCATGAGCCAAACACAAGTTCCCAAATGTTTCGCACGGACCACTGGATCCAGATAACCTTCATAGAATAACAAGTAATGAGGTCAGGAAATTTACGTTCTTTACAGGTAACATTAACAAATATGCTTGACAAAGGACTTACAGATCTTCATTCAGGCATAAAGCAAAGTTTGCACCCCCTCCAAGTGCAATCAAGTCATTCAAGCACAAGTAAAAATATCTGTTGGCACCTGTTCAAGTAAAAAATGTAAAAGAGAGAGTTTTCAATCAAAACATAAAATGTACAATCTCTCTCTCTCTCTCTCTCTCTCTCTCTCTCTCTCTCTCCAAGGAATATCAGTGAACTTTTTGCATGTAAACGTTCGAGCATAATTGTAATTAAAATTGTGATTAGACGAACTTCATCACCTCTTCTCTCATTTTCACCTTGCAAGTAGAATACAGAGACTCTTCATCATTGAATAACTCAAATTTTCAGAAATGCGTCCCTCTTTTATTTAACAACAAAGACAAAAGCTGAAGGAAAACAAATTTTTGAAAAAGAGCTTAGATAAAGGTGAGAGCAACAACGGCAACTTTTCGCAGGCTTTAAATAAATCCCTAGTTGTCTGAAAATAAAAGGAATGCCTTTTTCCTTTCTCTTGCAATGATGAGGACATAATTACTTATTCAGTGAATAATTCAACTTTGAAACCAAATCAACCAACCAAAAAATGGAAAAAGAAAAAGAAAAATATGGAACATAAATTTGTCCTTCATCAACCTTAAAGAAGTTATCATTCAAAAACTTTTACTTACCAACTTTACGCTTACTTTTATCAAACTCATTAACTAAATCAAATGAAGTTTATATTAACTGTACTTAAAATCACAAGCTAAAACAGCTTGTCAGTTAGTTACTCATAACAGTAGCATATAGAAGCCTATTTTTATAAACAACATTCCTTTAATAGTAGAACAGGAATCATGACTAAGAATCAAAGACACGTATCAAAATCAGTGATTTTTACTAAAACTAAGGTATCGTACCTTTTTGCTTACTACTTGAGTGAGCTACATGCATATTAAGAAACCTATATTGTTGTATCTATAAACCAGTTAGCTAGTCATGATGGTCTACCAAACATAAATGTGAAAAATCTTATTAATTTGAATTTTCACCTATATGTTTGTTAGAGCAACAAGAGTAGCTAACTGGTTTATTATACGGCAATATAGTTTTTGCAATAAGTATTTAGCTCATTCAAGTAGTAAGCAAAACAATGCAATATCTTATTTTTAGTAAATATCATTGATTATGATGTGTTTCTGATTCCTAGTTATGATTCCCGTTGTACATTTTAAGAATTCTCTTTAGTAACAGTAGGCTTCAAGAAAATCTCGAGGGTGAAAAACCTACCAAAAGCCTGTCTGTTTTGCAAGAGGCTTGACATTTTCCTAAAAGACCTGCCGATATATATATAAGGTCCATAGTTTCTGCTCAGTACGTGAGTGATGTTGCAAAACACTACACTATATATAGTAGTGTTGCAAAACACTACATATTTTTTTCTTATTTTTTATTTTTTCCTTTTAATAGGATCAAAAGGAGCTGTTTTTCCTCCCAGATACAGTATGAAACCATTTCATCAAAAAAGTTAATTCAGAACCCATTTCAATCCAAAAAGAAATTACTAAAAAGAAGATTTACATTACCCAGACAAGGAGTTAAAATTCAGAAAATGTAAAACGCCAGCTGATCTTGTTTTATCAAGTCTATTAGCATTGTCAAACGAAATCAAATTGTAAACTCAATTAACATCATAAGCTAAAAAAATTTCTCAAGCATTCACGGAATTTAACTTATTTACATATACATTGTATCCAAAACTCAAACCCACAATTTTTTATTCACAGATCAGACACAAGAAACAATTTTAATTAATAAAAAATCATAAAAATCTCACAATCAATTCAAACATTGGATTCAATCAAATATTCACATGATTCTGAAGACCCACAAAAGGAAAGAGGGTACCTCGGGTTCTTGATCTGGCGTTTGAGATGATGGGGAGTCCGAAAAAAATCTTGATAGCCACAAAAGGAAAGAGGGTACCTCGGGTTCTTGATCTGGCGTTTGAGATGATGGGGAGTCCGAAAAAAATCTTGATAGTGTTTCCGAAACTCTCTCTTTTATTGCATGCATTTTTTTGGTTTCTAATTTCTAAATGACCAAAATCTGAACGAAAAATGATGAAATTCAGAATCCACCCAGATTTAGATTTTCAGTATACATGTGCCGTGTAGGTATAATTGTACCGGAGAGGAAAAAAGTTGATGTGGAAAGGTGGGGCGGGGGAAAGAGAGAGACAGGTGTGAAAGAGCACATACTGTTTCCATTATAGAAAGGGCGCAAATTTGGGGAGGGAAACATTGCTTATTTTGGTTTCCAATTCATTCACCAATTCTACGGGTCTTACGTTAGGAATCAAGAATGTATTCTTCAAATCAAATATTTTTCAATTCAATTTTTGTTGCTATAAATATATTATTTTTATTTTTGTTGACCACCAAATATGTATGATCTAGGTGTTCCCAATGTGAAGTAAATGGACAATGTTTTGGTTGGAATATTTAGTTGTTAATCTATTTCCTTCAAATGCCCACTTATAGATTTGACCAGATTACTTTTTGACGATGATGACAACATTTAAGTAAAAAGAAGGAGAAGAAGAAATTTTAAAAAATCATAATACCTATTTTGTTGAGAATTTTATGTCAATTTCCTTTATTTTTATTTACCCACGTGATCTTTTGTTATTCAAGAGAATATTAACAAACAAGAAAAATAAAGAATATAACGCACAAATAAAATAGACCGTTAAAGCTTTTCATTGTATGAAAATTGTTACAACCATATAAAATTTTACTCTCCAACTCAATCCTCAAATATTACAAAGAAAAAATAAACTCGAACTTTACCTCACCTATTTTTCTACCCAATGTACTAAATGTTTCAAAATACTAAACTCACAATATTTTTCTTTCAGATCAATTCTCTGGCCACACCCAAAATAGTGAAATAATCTACTATTTATAGGATCAATAAACAAGTAGAAGAGTTTAATTTAAATTCAATCAAGACTCCTTTAACTCAACAATGATTCTTTTATATGTAAGACTCCAAAATCTGTTGTAAATTGGAGGCTATATTCTGCAAAGATTCTGCTCTCAACTTTAATTATAAGTCTTCCATACAATAACTACATTTTATTATTTGCAATAGAAATTCTCCAATTTTTTACTTATGAGGCAACTACCCAACAATCTCCATATTGCCGAAAATGAATCAAATTTTTGTCATCTCTTTTATAACTTTTAGTCACGATACTTGGAAAAAACGAGTAAGCCTTTGACATACTTTAACGGTCTCATACTCTACCGTATGAGTATAATCATTTAGAATTATCCACGAACTCTGAGCATTTCGTTGGCTACATGTCGAAAAAACCCTGTTGATAGTTATAGTGCAACTCTCCCACCGACTTTTCTAGAGAGCTCATCAACCATCGACATCACAACACCAACACATACCTACACACTCTGTATCAAATGTTAGTCTATGCTATGTACCGATATGCTGACCTACGCCAATAAGAACACATACTTTATCATGGCAACATGCTATGAGGATGTTCCCACCTTATTTTAAAGTACCACATCCGCGTCCTCCTCCGTCAGGAGAGACGCATTATCCGACCCCAAGCAGTTAGTCGACCTCGCTCCACCTTTTGGACAATTTCTCTTCATGTGGTCAGTCTAACCGTAGTTCCAACAAGTTATTTTCTTCATCATAAAGTTGCCTTTCTTTCTTTTTTAGTCACAAGCACCACATTGTTAGATGGAGTATTTTGTCCTCCTAATCTTCTTTTTTCTAAGATCAAGTTGATTATCATTTCTACGAAACTCACAGTCTCCTTCTCATACATTAAAATTGGCTTGGTATGTTCATAGGTAGATGGAAGAGAGCAAATGAGCATAGTACCTTATCCTCATCATCTATCTTCACTACAATAGCCTTCGGTTCTGAAACAGTCTCATTGAGAATACTCAGATGGTATGAGATTTTCGTACCTGCCTCCATTCATAATGAATGAAATTGTTCCTTCAGGTACAACTGATTTGAGAGGCTTTTCGTTTGATATAGCTCTTCTAACTTCTCCTATAGTTCCTTTGTAGCAGATATTCTTTGAATATTTGCAAGAACCTTTTTTGCCAGACAGAGACGTATCATGCTTGCAACCATCGAATTCAATTCTTTATAATCATCATCGCTCATACTGAATTCAACTTCCTTGCCAGAACTCTTGATTGGTTTTCCTTTCAAAACCTTGTGCGGACAGTCCAGCTTGAATCAATAAATCCCTAACTTGTACTTGCCATAAGCAAAATTGAATCTCCCATCGAATTTCTCCATGTCATATTTCAACGATGACATGTTTTTCTGTTGCTCCAATACTCCAAACCACCAGATGCTCTGATACACTTGTTGGGAATTTTATGCCAATTCCTTTTATTTTTATTTACCCGCAGGACTTTTTGTTTTTCAAGAGAATATTTGTAAGCAAGAAAAATAAAGAATATAACGTAAAAATAAAATGGACTGTTAAAGCTTTTCACTATATAAAAATTATTACAACCATATAGAATTATACTCACCAATCCAATCTCCAAGTATTACGAAGAAAAAATAAACTCGAGTTTTACCACACCTACTTTTCTACCCAATGTACAAAAAGTCTCAAGATGAGAGGCTCACAATATTTTTCTCTCAGATCAACTCTATGGCTACATTCGAAATAATGAATACATCCACTATTTATAGGATCAATAATCAAGTAGAAGAGTTTAATTTGTGTTTGTTTCTCATTTTTTTAAGAATGAGAATGAAAAATATAGCTGTTATGGGTCTCACATAAAAAATAGAAATTCAAATTTGGTGACTTGATGTAATGGATGACGATCATATTTTTCATTTTAATGAGAAAAGAATGAGAATCAAACAGGGGCTTAAACTCAAAATAAGACTCATTTAACTCAACAAGGGTTCCTTCATGTACAAGATTCTAAAATTAGTTGTAAATGGAGACTAAATTCTGCTTTCAACTTTAATTAAAAGTTTTCCATACAATAACTACCTTTTATTATTTGCAATAGAAGTCATCCAGCTTTTACCTTTTGAGGCAATTACCCAACACATTTT